ATGATTAGTATTTATTTATTTATTATTATTAAAAAATTTCTAGCATTTATATTTATTATTTTACCAAAAAAAAATAGGTAATTAAGTTTTACTACTAGACAATGACAACAAAAGATGAAAAATAATTTTTTTTTACAAAATTACAATTACACACTTTTTAAAACTAATGACATGATAGTTTTTTTTTATACTGATAAAAATTTAAGAAATAACAAATTTGATAAAAAAAAATTTTTATATAAAAATACTACCTTGACTTATTTGATAGAATATTGTAAAATAGAAAATTTTCTAATTGTTAGATTATTAGGTAAAATTAGTCAAATTTTTATTTTTATTTTAATTATCAATTCAAATATTTATTTAAGAGAATTTTATTTTTATTTTTTTGAAAAAAACATACCATACTTACATATTTTTTTGGCAGAAATAACCAGATTTATATTTTTCTTTTGTTGCAAGAATGAGCAGAATAAACCCTTTTGCAAAAATGACTAGTTTTACGTTTTTTATTTTTATTTTTTTCTTAAGTTCATTTTTAAAAAGAAAGTTACCAAAAACCAAAAAATTGTGATTGTTATATTATTTTTTTTACTTTTTTTTATATAGTAAAGATAACATTTAAACTAAATATGATTAATAATATATATGTACATCATAATAAAAAAAAATCATATGAGAAACACTATAGAATAAACTAATAAAAATATACCAACTAATACTATAGAATAAACTAATAAAAATATACAAACTAAGTAACATAAGGATAAATATAATCATACGAGAATCATAATAAACATAGCAAAAAAATCAACAATTTTTCCAAAAAAAAAAACATAAACACTAATTCAAGATTACATTGAAATGTAAAAAGAAATACCTACAGTTGATGACAAGAAAATAATACATGCAAATTCAATTGAATTCGCAAGACAACCCAAGAGAAATATCTTTCTTTTTTAAGAAGAAGAAAAAATTTTAAGTTTTTTTTCTTCTTGCAAATTTTTTTTCTATCTTTTTTTTAAAAAAAAATGGAAAAAAAAGAAGGGGGTTTAAATAGGTGTTCAACATTAAACCTCCAATTTTTCTTGAAAACTTAAAAGCCAATGCATGCATTGAACTCTTTGTTTTCCCAAGGTGCCACCCAAGATGATCAATATATTTTTTAAAAATAAAAATTAAATTAATTGAATGATTCATTTGCCCTTTTAGATAACCCATTTACTTTATTCATTAATTGAATATAGTTATATGGGTCATCAGAAAATAATAGACTCAAATGTCATTTAGATGACTCATTTCTTTTATTCATTGTTTGAAAAATAGTTAATGGGTCATCTGAAAATAAAAGGCCCAAATGTCATGTAGATGACTCATTTCTTTTATTCGTTGTTTGAATAATAGCTGATGGGTCATCTGTAAAAAATCTAAAATAGGCCCATTAATAACATCAACATGATAAACTTAAAGAACATTAATAACACAAATCCGACATCAAACCACTTATATGGTCAAATGAAAAAAGATAATGATTCATATTTGGATTTCCTTAGATCTACTGAGTTTGGCTATATATGTGGATGAAAGGTTTGTAGATTTAGGTATAGAAGGGTGAAAGGAAAAGATGGTAAAATTTTAAAGATTTTTCGGTCAAAAAGGCGGTGGCCACTGAGCGGTGGTGGTGACAACGGTGGCCGGTCCGCGGCATGGTAGTAAAGGGAAGAAGAAAAATAAAAAATCTAAAAAAATGCTAATTTTTTGGAGTTTTGTATTTTTGTTTGGGTCCAATAATATCCCTTGGATCAAAATATCATGAATGGTTGAGATTTAATCTTGACCATTTCTATTGATCGGGTCAAAATCAATTGGGCCATCAAAATTGATCTAAATCAGCCCAATTTAAATAAAATTAGGTCATTTGAGCCAATAAAATAATAAAAACAAATACCCAAAATACAAATAAAAATAAAATTCCTTACTAAAATATTATAGGAGAAAAATAAACACATACAAAATTAGGTGTTCACAGTTACCGAGGAAGAAAATGTAGAATTTCTATAAAAGCATAAAGTTCCAGATTACTCTTTCATGGAGTAATTGAAGAAGACGCCTGCACAAATTTCACTGTTGTCTCTACTTTTGCACTCAAAGAACATCACCTTGTGTTGAATAAGGTTTTGAATGAAGCACATGTGCCAAAAGAGACCACAGTAAATCAGTTGGAGAATATGACCAAGTGCGTCTTCGAGTCAAACGACATCACTTTCACTAATGATGAGTTGCCCAAGGAGGGAGCTAGACACAACAAAGCTTTGCATCATACAGTGACATGTGAAGGTTACTATGTAAAGAGGGTCATGATAGATGGAGGTTCATGGGTAGACATATGTCCTCTTTCTATGCTGCAAAGCTTGAAAGTTAACACTGAAAGAATTCGCCCCAGTAATGTATTTGTGCAAGCTTATGATGGCTCAAGGAGGGATACCATTGGTGAAATCAAGTTAAACATGACAATTGGGCCAGTAGTCTTCATGATTGTGTTCCAAGTAATGGATATGGAAATATCTTATAATTTTCTACTTGGGAGGCTATGGATCCACATGGCTCGAGTCGTTCCATCAAATCTACATCAAGTTGTCAAGTTCGAATACAACAATTAGGAAATCACTGTTCATGGGGAAGATGATTCACCTATTTACAGAGACTCATCCGTCCCATACATTGAGGCAAAGAAAGGATATGATTCTGTTGTTTACCAGTCTTTTGAGGTTGTATTAGTTGATGTATCCTTTCGCTTCAATGGTAGCAACGATGATGCTCAAATATGGTTATCAACATGGTAAAGGTTTGGGAGTATATTCGCAAGGAATCGTGGATCCCATTACTCTCTTAGGAAACCAAGGCACCTCTGGCCTCGGATACAAACAAAGCAAGAGAAATGGAGATAAGGCTAAGAACCACAAAAGGATTTATCGGTCGTTGCCACAAACGATTCCCCATATTTCTCATTCTTTTATCAAACATTAGGGTCCAGAATTGAAAGATTCATTCACTCTTGAAGACATTGAAGAAGTTATTGAGGATCTCAGTCAGTTGTTTTGTGAAGTAAATTTGGTCCAAGTTGGTGAAGGTGTAAGTCATGCCAATATGCAGCTCGTGGTCTCAGGTGTTGAGTTAAGCAATTGGGAAGCCACTCCTTTCCCCATAAGAAAGGAGTCGTGGTAGTTTGTTTTGCTACTCTTTTGTATTTTATTATTCTCGGGGTTGTGGCCCGATTAGTTCAAAGTATTTTTTTATTTTCAACCCTTCTATCCCTTTTTGATGTCAATGAAATGAAATTTCATTTTCATAGTAAATTTTGTCTTTTTCCCTCCCTTAATTCTTATTCTCTATTTTTTTGTCATGTAAATGCCGACTTTGATAACATGACATGCATGCGGAATTCACTCCCTGATTTCAAAGAGTTGATTATTCTTGAATCACCAAGTCAAGAGGTGGAATATGATAAAGAAGAGGCTTTTAGCGAAATTAATTGGGAACTGGAAAAGTTTGAGCACAAATCGAAGCCTAATCTTAGTGAAACTGAGACAATCAATTTGGAAAGTTTTGAGGATGTTAACAAAATAAAAATAAGTTTACATATCAATCAGGAAATTAGAGAGGCAATAATACAACTTTTGTTTGAATACAAAGATGTATTTGATTGGTCTTATGATGACATCCCAGGTTTGAGTGTTGATTTAGTTGTTTATAAGTTGCCCATTTATCCTAATTTTCCACTTGTCCAACAGAAAAGAAGGAAATTCAAACCGGACATGAGTGAAAAAATCAAGGAAGAAATAATGAAACAATTGAATGCAAAGATGATCCAAGCTATTGGTTACACTACTTGGTTGGCAAATGTTGTTTTTGCACCGAAAAAGGATGGAAAGACAAGACTTTGTGTTGACTATCGAGATTTGAACAAGGCTAGTCCAAAAGACAACTTTTCATTACCAAATATCCACATCCTAGTTGATAATTGTGCAAAACACGAGATGCAATCTTTTGTGGACTGTTATGCGGGGTATCATCAAATCTTGATGGATGAAGAGGACGCTGAGAAAACTGCTTTCACCACTCCACGAGGAACTTATTGCTACAGGTCATGCCATTTGGTCTTAAAAATACTGGGGCGACTTACATGAGAGCTATAACCACCATGTTTCATGATATGATGCATAAAGAAATTGAAGTACACGTCGATGACGTAATCATCAAGTCTAAAACACAAGTTGATCATGTGCAAGATCTGAGAAAATTCTTGGAAAGAGTGCGAAGATATGACCTCAAGCTTAAACCAGCAAAATGTGCATTCGGAGTTCCATTTGGAAAACTTCTGGGTTTTATTGTCAGTAGAAGGGGAATCGAATTGGATCCCTCCAAAATAAAAGTCATTCGAGGTTTGCCATCCCCGAAAAATAAGACCGAGGTCATGAGTCTACTTGGGAGGTTGAACTACATCAGCAGGTTTATTGCTCAACTCACAACAACATGTGAGCCTATTTTCAAACTTCTGAAGAAGGATGCTGCTGTTAGATGGACAAAAGATTATCAACGAGCTTTTGAAAAAAATCAAGGAGTGTTTGTCCAATCCTCCCGTGTTGGTACCACCTGAACCTGACATGCCTCTCTTTCTATATCTTTCAGTAAAAGATAACTCCTTTGGGTGTATTTTCAGTCAACATAATGCTACAGGAAGGAAGGAGCAGTTTATCTACTACTTGAGCAAGAAATTCACTAGTTATGAGGTCAAGTACACCCTTTTGGAAAGGACGTGTTGCGCCCTAACTTGGGTAGCTCAAAAGTTAAGGCATTACTTATTGTCCTACATAACTTACCTCATATCAAGGATGGATCCTTTAAAGTACATTTTTCAGAAGCCAATGCCAATTGGCAGACTCGCGAAATGACAAATTTTGCTCACTTAATTTAACATTATATATGTCACTCGCACTGAAATGAAAGCCCAAGCTTTGGCTCACCACTTAGCACAGAACCCAGTCGATGGTGATTACGAACCATTGGATACATATTTTCCAGATGAAGAGATTAACTCAATTGAGAAAGTAGGTTCAAATGGAAATCAAGCCTGGCAATTGTACTTTGATGGAGCAACCAACACAAAAGGCACACGGATTGGGGCAATTTTAATATCGCCCACAGGGCAACATTACCCTGCAGCAGCTCAACTTCGTTTTTTTTGTACAAATAACATGACTGAGTATGAAGGTTGCATCATGGGTCTAAATATGGCAATAGATTTGGGTGTGCAAGAATTAATTGTGTTGGGACATTCTGATTTGCTTATCCGACAAGCTCAAGGTGAATGGAAAACTCGAGAGCTCAAGATCCTTCCATACAGACAATGTGTGAAAGATCTTCGCAGAAAATTCATGTACATCGAGTTTAGATACATCCACAGGTTTCATAATGATTTGGCCGATGCCTTGGATACTTTAGCCTCAATGTTTCCCTATCCTGAAAACACTTACATCACCCCATTAGAGATTCAAGTTCGGGACCAATATGTCTATTGTAATACAGTGGAAGCATAACCTGATGGTGAGCCATGGTACTCAGACATCAAGAAATTTTTGAAGACAGGGAGATGCCCCGAACATGCCAACAGAAGCCAAAAAAGAACTATTAGACGTCTGATAATGGTTTCTTTTTGAGTGAGGATATTTTTTATAAACGAAATATGGATCTGAATTTATTGAGATGTGTGGATGCTGAAGAAGCCGAGAAAATTATGAATGAAGTGCACGCTGGGGTATGCGGACCACACATGAACGGATATGTCCTTGCAAAAAAGATACTCTGGGCGGGGTATTATTGTCTTACCAGGGAAAGGAATTGCTTTCACTTTGTGAAAAAATGTCATCAATGTCAAATCCATGATGATCTAATTCATTCACCTTATTCAAAGTTGCACCTCATGGCTGCTCCTTGGCCCTTTGTTGCATGGGGAATGGATGTAATCGGACCAATTGAGCCAAAAGCCTCTAATGGACATTGATTCATTTTGGTTGCAATTGATTACTTCCCCAAATAGGTGGAGGTGATAACTTTCAAAGCAGTCACTAAGAAGGCAGTCGTGGATTTTGTTTATTCAAACATTATTTGTTGATTTGGTATCCCAAGAGCTATCATCACTGATAATGCTGCAAACCTCAATAGTACTCTGATGAAGGAGGTATGCTAGCAGTTTAAAATTCTGCACCACAATCCTACTCCATACCGACCAAAAGCCAACGGAGCTGTGGAGGCAGCCAACAAGAATATCAAAAAGATTCTCAGAAGGATGGGTCAAGACACTAGACAATGGCACGAGAAGCTACCTTTTGCACTTTTAGGATATCGCACAATAGTGCGCACCTCGATTGGTGCAACTCCTTATTTGCTGGTGTATGGAACTGAGGCTGTGATTCCAATGAAAGTCAAAATTCCATCTCTTCGAATTATTGTCAAGGCTGAAATTGAAGATACTGAATGGGTCAAAATCCGACTAGAGCAATACATATTAATAGACGAGAAACGATTGACGGCTGTCTGTTTTGGTTAGCTTTATCAGCAAAGGATGGCTCGTGCATACAACAAAAAGGTGCACCCAAGACACTTTGAAGTAGGTCAACTGGTCTTAAAGCGCGTTCTCCCGCACCAAAAGAAGCTAAGGGAAAGTTTGCCCCAAATTGGCAAGGTTCATATCTTATCAAGGAAGTATTGTCAAAAGGAGCCCTGCACCTTACTGATGTGGAAGGAAAAATCACGGGCATAATTATAAATGCAGATTCAGTCAAAAGATACTATATCTAATGCATTCTAAGGTTTTGCAACAAGTTTGGGATTGAAAGAACAAAGACACCTCTTCGAAAAAAATCTCTTATTGAAAATTCTGAACTACGCTTGACCTGATTTCGAAAGGATACGTAGGCAACCCTTTAGGGGTTCGGTTATATAAAAAAATCAGTTTCCAGTATTTACAGAAAACTGGGGCATTGTTTTAATTTTTTTTATATAGAACAGTGTCATATCGTAATTTTTTATTTATTCTGCAATCGACTTTTTGATCAAATCTGAAAATGATATTAATCATCAAAGGCAACATCAAAAAAAAACTTATGAGTGAAAAACCTTGGGGGGTACCATAAGTAAGTAAAATAAATGAGAGAGTCTTATCGGTGAAAACTTTCATAGGCATCATAAGGCACCTTAAGATAAAGGGAGAGAACATCATGAATGAAATCTGCAAAGATGATCATTTTTCGACACCTCTGCATAAAGGGCACATAGATAAATTGACGATGAATCAGATTTTGAGAACTAAAAAACTCAAACGGATCAGGGGGCAAGTCCAAGTGCATGTCATGGTTCAATCAAAGTCGACATATGCCTCTAGATAAGTTCTCTTTCTCAGGAATATCCTTCATTAAGTTTATAGCTTCTTGATCCAATCTTTCATACTCTTATGTTTGATATTTTTTTTCTCTTTTTGATATAATCTCTAAACCAAATAAAGTGAAGAGTGCAAAGCTTGCTACAGATTCCCAAAAGTAAAGCTGAGTATCTGAGTTGACAAGCCATTGATAAATAACTAAAAACACCTCAAATCTTCACTGAAAAATTCATGAAGCTCATTATTCTTTGGGAAATCACTCGCACCATGATATTTGGTAGTAGCAAAAGATCAAGGCCCCTGGTTAACAAAGAGGGAGCTTCAAAGGTTGCTTAACCAAGGAGTTGTAGTAGAGTTGGAGAAATTGATCGTGAGTATGGTCAAGTCGTTGGAGAACCAAGGCCAAAAACCAACCACCACTTTAAACTAACAATTTTCTCTTTTATTTGCTCAACACAGAAAGAAAAAAGAAATGCAGGGTTACAAGTCAAAAAGGAAACATCACAAAAGGAAGATCTCCAAAGTCTTAAAATGTTTGGTGTTTCATCGAATGCTACTCGCATTTTTGCCTATCAATGGGAGAGTTTCGAGAAATACCCTCCAATCTGAATTCCGTGCAATATGCACACGTCCTTTATTCATGGGCAATACGCACCATCCTTTGTTTATGTGCAATACACACTTGTTTGAATTTTGTCCAATACACACCAATCTGAATTCTGTGCAACAAGTACACATCCTTTATTCATGTGCAATACGCACCATCCTTTGTTCATGTGCAATACGCACCTGACTGAGTTTCGTGCAATACCCACCAATCTGAATTCCATGCAACAAGCACACATCGTTTATTCATGGGCAATACACATCATCATGTGTTCATGTGCAATACGCACCAGTCTGAATTTTGTGCAATACGCACCAATTGGAATTCATGTGCAATATGCATCAATATGAATTCCGTGCTATACGCACACATCTTTTATTCATGTGCAATACGCACCTTCCTTTGTTCATGTGCAATACGCACCTGTCTGAATTTCGTGCAATACACACCAATCTGAATTTCGTGCAACAAACATACATCTTGTATTATTTTATTGGCTCAAGTAACCCAATTTTGTTTAAATTGGATTGATTTAGATCAATTCTGATGACCCAATTGATTTTGACCCGGTCAATAGAAATGGTCAAGAATGAATCTCAATCATTCATGATATTGGTCCCAAACAAAAATACAAAGCTCCAAAAAAATTAGCATTTTTTATTTTAGATTTTTTATTTTTCTTCTTCCCCTTACTACCATGCCGCCGGCCGGTCATCGCTGTCGCCACCACCGCCCGGTGGCCACCACCTTTTTGGCCGGAAAAATCTTTAAAATTTTACCATCTTTTCCTTCCATCCTCCTCTACATAAATCTACAAACCTTTCATCCATATGTAGAGCCAAACTCCGTAGATCTAAGGAAAATCAAATATGAATTTTTACTTTTTTTCTTAGATTTATAAAGTATCGATCATTCCCATTCCAAACCCTTTACATAAATGTGTAGAGCTCTTCAAGAGCTATCATTTGATATAAATTTTAAGTTCAGAATCCGTCAAAAAAATTTTCGGCAACCTTCATTTACCCAAAAGTTATGTCAATCTTTCCCTCCCCCCTCTCAATCTTTATCCAAATTCATCATTATCTTTTTTCGTTTGACCATATTAATCGTTTGATGTCGGATTTGTGCTATTTATGTTCTTTAAGTTTATCATGTTGATGTTGTTGCTTGAAGTATTATTATTATTTATATATTTATTTTATTTCATTTTATGTTTATTATTTTTACTTTTTTCTGCATTATTTTGTTATGTTTGCTCTTTAAAATTGTTTAGATGTTTAGATTTTGTGTTAATGGTTCAATTTTGTTTGGGTCTTGATGAAATGGGTCAACATTTGCGCCTATTTTAGGTTTTTTTCAGATGGTCCATCAGCTATTATTCAAACAATGAATAAAAGAAATGGGTTATCTACATGACATTTGAGCCTTTTATTTTCAGATGACCCATTAACTATTATTCAAACAATGAATAAAAGAAAGAGAAAATTTTATATAATAGCAAACTAATAACCTAAACTAAATGGAATAGCTAGGGTTTGATTTAATTGTTCTACATAGCAAACATTAGCTAAAATTTGCCAGCGTCTCTCTCCCAAAATCTCGCTCGCCACTCTCCATTCTCTCTCACCTCTCCCGCTTTATACACAGAAGTGTATAATTTTGTTTCTATTTTGTATAAAGCGAGAGAAAATTGTATATACACATGCAAAAATGTATATCTTCGTGTTATACACTTAATTATACAATTTACAAACATTTTAATTCAAA